TTCAAAGGGTCCTCCCAGCTCTAAGAGTGGATGTTCTAAGGTACTGCCCATCTGTGACATTCTATGTGCTAAGGACACTCCCAGCCCTGAAACTCTGTGTGACTAAACGCTGCCCCCAGCCCTCTCACTCTGTGTCCTAAGCCCCTCCCAGCCCTGACACTCTATGTCCTAAGGCTCCCCCACCAAATTCTGACACTCTGTGTCCTACAGACTGCTCCCCCCCAGCTTTGACACTCTGTGTCCGAAGGGTCCTCCCGGCTCTGCCATTCTATGCTTCTAGGATGATGAAGACTTTGAGCTCGGCTTCTGACAACTTCCTAACTTTTAACTCAGCTCTCCCACAGCACTCCCTGAGCACTGTCAGAAGGAATGTGATCCAATTAGGGTCTTAGAACACCAGGGATCGGCAGCAGAGGGAGAACAGCTAGAAAACTTACTTTAAAGTCTCCTTCCACCTGAACCCCAAATCCCAAAATGTTAGAGAGCAGGAAGGGACCTTAGAGACTTCCAGTATAACTTCTTAGATTTCCAGAGGATGAAACCAAGGCCAAGAGAGGGGAAACCATATAACCAGCCAGTGCAGTAAGGAAAAGAACCCAAATCTGATGACTCCCAGTTGATGGCTCATTTTAACATTTCCCAATGCCGCTACTCTGCAAGGTAAATTAGTCCTATAAGAAGGCCTGGCGCTTGATCAGAAGAGGTCATGTGTTTGGTGGAAAGAGAACTGGTTTTGGTTTTGGAGGTCTGGGTTCAAATCCACTTACTACCTAGGGGCTCTTGGGCAAGTCACTTTACTTCCCTGGGCCTCAGTTTCCGTATCTGTAAAGTGAGGGGGTCTGTCTCCATGGCATCTATGATCTCTTCCAATCAATAAACATTTCATCAATAACTATTCCACTTAGACTATCACGGTCCCGACTGCTGTAATTCATTGCTTTCAAATTCCCAATCCAGTCTTTACTGACTAGTATGACTGTAACTAGTATGTATGACTGACTAGTATTTACTAACTAGGGCAGCTTGGTGGCTTAGTGGATAGAGTGCCAGGCCTGGAGTCAGGAAGACTCATCTTCCTGAGTTCAAATCTGGCCTGAGACACTCTAACCCTAGGCAAGTCACTTAACTCAGTTTCCTCATCTGTAAAATGAGCTGGAGAAGGAAATGGCAAACCACTCCAGTAAAAAAGAAAACCCCAAATGGGATCACGAAGAGTCAGACAGGACTTAACAACAACAACAAGCTATATTCAGGATAAATTCAAGATTATCCACAAAGGGCAAACCCTAACATTAAGGGGGCTCAGGAAAGGCTTCCTATAGAAGGTGAGATTTTAGTTGGGACTTGAAAGAGTCCAGGAAAGGTGGAAGGCAGACATGAAGAGGGAGAATATTCAGAGAACATTCCAGGCATGGGGGACAGCCAGAGAAGATGCCAGGAACTGAGAGATGGAGCTTCTTGTTTAGGGAACAGCAAGGAGGCTGATGCCAATGAAGGTTATTTTTATTTTATTTTATTTTATTTTATTTTATTTTTGCTTTTAGGCAATTGGGGTTGTTACTTGCCCAGGGTCACACAGCTAGTACGTGTCAAGTGTTTGGTCTGAGGCCGAATTTGACCTCAGGTCATCCTGACTTCAGGGTCGGTGCTCTATCCACTGCGCCACCTCGCTGCCCCTCAATGAAGGTTATAAGATGTAAAAAAGACTGGAAAGGCAGGAGGGGGCCAGATTATAAAGGGCTTTGGCCATCAAATGGAGGGGCCATCATCAAGTGTCTTGGCTTCTGTCTTGCGATGACCCTGGAGGAGAAAGTGAGGTTGATGACTTTGCACAGCTTTGCCTCACTGAAATCCAATTCACTTGCAAGGCAAGATGTCACCCTCATGATGTCACTGGTCCTCTTCGAGAAGGAAGGATGAACAATAACTGAAATATCAACAGAAGCAACAACAACCAGAGGGAAGATTTTGTATTTGATCCTGGAGGTGATAGGGAGTTGATGGAGTTTACTGAGTGAAGGAATGCGTGCCACTCCCCAAGATAAAGTGGGGACCTGTGCTTTAGGAAGATCACTTTGACAGTTGAGTGAGTGGAGGATGGACCTGAGTGAGGAGAGATTCATGATGAGGACACCCACCAAAAGGCTGTTACAATAATCCAGGTGTGATCAGGGTGGTGGCAGGGTCAGAGGAGAGAAAGAGACGCATTCAAGAGATGTTATGAAGGTAAAACCAATAGGCTTTGGCTACAGCGTGGATATGGGGATTGAGAGAGAAGGAGGAGTCGAGGATGGACACCTAGGTTACAAGCCTGAGTGGCAGAGAGGATGGTGGTGCCCTCAACAGTAATAGGGAGGTTAGGAAGATGGGAGGGTTTGGGGGAGAGATAGTAAGTTCAGTTTGGGATGAATTGAGTTTAAGATGTCTATGGAATATCCATTTTGAGATGTCTAAAGGCAGTTGGACATGAACGACTAGGGGTCAGAAGAAGGGCTAAGGCTGGAAAAATCGATTTGAGAACCATCAGCGTGGGGGAATGAAATCACCAAGTGAAATAATAGAGGGGAAAAGAGAAGGGGGTCCAGGACAGAGTCTATGGGACACCTCACTTAGCAGTATGACAGTTGGTGTGTAAATAAAACAGAAATCAGAGGTAATTTGGCCCTGACAAGAAAGCCAAGGGCATGTCCTGGCTTCTTAGAAAACCAGGACGCATTCATTTATTCACTCCCTAAACAGTTGTGGACGCTTGCCACACTGGCAAGGCCACTCGGGGATTCCAGGACAGCTGAAGACAGGGCAGAACAAGAACAGAGTGTATAATACATACCCTCAAGTACAGAACGTTCCAGGAAAATGAAGAGTCTGTGGAGCTGCCTGGAGGCGGGCAGGTTCAGATGGGGCCTTGGCAGGGGTCGGGGGCAGAGTTCAGTTTCGGGCTGGTGTTAAGGCTCAGGTCTGGGTCAGAGTTTGCTTCTTGGCTGGGATTAGGGCTCAGGTTTGGGTCAGAGCTCTGCCATTGGCTGGAATCAGGACTTATTCTAGGATCAAGGATCAATCTAGGGTCAAGCTCAAGTTTTTGTCTCAGCTTGGGAGCTGGATCCAGAATTAGGACACAGTCTAGGGTTAGGGCTTAGTCTGGGGGTGGGGAGACAGAACCAAAGGGAGCTGAATAACCTTGAGTTTGGCCTCAATCGTATTGAGCTTTTGATTTCTGAGGTATAAGTAATTGGAGGTCCCCTAATTCAAGTTCTGGGCCAAATTAGGCTCCTTAGACTTCAGGTATGAGATTTTTCCAAACGTATTTTATTTTGTCCTAATTAGCTACTGCTGTATATTAAAAAAGGTGAGGGCAGAGAAGAGAAGGAAGATTAGACACAGACAAGCAGGACAACTTTGGAAGCTACAAGCTGAACTCACACACTTAAAAGAAAAGCAAGCTGTGTATACTAGAGATCAGGACAATAAAGAAGTCACTGAACTTGGAATTAGGAGGAACCCGGTTCAAATCCTGCCTTTTATACTTAGTATGTCATCCTCAGCAACTCATTTACCCTCTCTGAGCCTCAGTTTTCTATCTGTAAAATGGAAATCATAGTGTCTGCAGTACATTCCTCACAAGGCTGTTATGTGCCCCAGATGAAACTAAAACACTACCTCATTGTCATTGTTTCTTAACTCAGGTGTCATAACTAGATCAACCAGTAGTTTTCGTTGAAGGTGAATGTGATAATTTGTGGAATTAAGTCATAGGGACTCCCCACATGTGGATGTCAGATCTCATGACCTGATTCTGAACGATTGGGATGTTGACACCATAGCCTTTTTATCTTTTTTTTTTTTTTTTGTGAAGCAATTGGGATTAAGTGACTTGCCCAGAGTCACACAGCTAGTATGTGTTATGTGTCTAAGGCTGGATTTGAACTCAGATTCTTCTGAGTCCAGGGCTAGTGCTCTATCCACTGCACCACCTAGCTGCCCCGCCATAGCCTTTTAACCTACAGAATTGTTGATTCTGAGCCTGCATGTTGAATCAAGAAGGAGGGGTTTGGAGTAGTGGAGAGACAATAAGCAGACAAAAATGTACAAACACATCACATACAGAATAAATAGGAAACAATGAATAGAGAAGAGGCACTGACATTAAGAGGGAACAGGAAAAAGTCCTGTATAAGGTGGGCTTGTAGTTGGGATATGAAGGAAGCTGGGGACTTGGGGAGTTGGAGAAGAGACGGGAGTGTATCCCAGCAGTGACTATCACTCCCTGTGTTAGCTCGGACGATTCACTTCACTTCAGCTCTCTGGCTCTGTTTCTTCATCTGTAAATGAAGAGATTATAGTAGATAGATGCAGAGACCCCTTCCTTCTCTAAATCCAAGATTCTATTATCTCATTTGATCATTTACATGATTGCTTCATGTATGTTACATTGTTGATGACAGTCTGTGTTCTGATGACCTTCCTAGCTGACATTCAGTGTGCCAGGCAAGTATGTGCACATGAAGCACTTTGTAGACCTTAAAGGGCTACATAAATACCAGAGAATATTAATCTATTATTAGGATTTTCTATGTTCTAAGGGCCCTCCCAGCTCTGACATTCTGTGTTCTAAGGGCCCTCCCAGCTCTGACATTCTGTGTTCCAAGGACCCTCTCAGTTCTAACTGTCTGCAGTTCTGTGAGGCCCTTGTTCTGAATGAGAAAGGGAGGGGGGAGAGTTCCTTCTTCATGTGGGGGAAGGGGGGGCCAGAGGCCAATGAAAAGCAGGTGGTTTTGTCCTTCTAGGCCGCTCACACCTCCATACTCCCCGTGGCATGGCTGTAGCATGCAGCTGTAGTTGTACAGGTTTACAGGTGGCTTGTACAAAGTCTCTAACCTTCAAAACTTCTTTTCTTGGAAGAGAAGAGGGTGACCTGCTGAGGGGAGGGCCTTTGTTTGCTAGGGCCTGTTAGAACAGAGTCCATGGTGGGTGGGAAGCAGGGAAGGGCTGGAGGGAGGTCCTGCTTATAAGGAGGAAGCTTCAGACAGTACCAGCCACTTCCAGGCTCCTGGTGCAGCAGGTAGAGATCATAGTGGGTTACAAGGTCTGGGAGAGCTACGAGTACTTGGTGAGTGCAGCGACCACACGAAACTCGAGGGCTGAAAGAGACAATGTGGCATAGTGGTAAAAACCACTGAACTTCAGGGTTAGAAAACCTGGGTTCAAATGCTGACTGTAACTTACTAGCTATGTGACTTGTGCAAATCTTTTCCTCCTTCTTGAGCCTTGGTTTCCCTCATTAGTAAAAATTAGAGGGTTGGACAAGATTGTCTTTATGATTTCCTCTAGCTGTAAATCTTGGTATCTCAAGGATAAATCCTTGACTGTATAGGAGTTTCTGTTGCATGGCCACATAGGCAAAAACCCCCAAACTGAGTAAGTGTTGAGGTGGGGGGTAAGTAACCAGGGATATAGAGCAGGGACACCCTCTTTCATTTCTTTAGCAAGACTCTAGAACCCAGGAGGACTTCCAGGATTTGGGTCCCCATTTGGGGGTGATGGGATGGGGGATTCAACCTTACCGGCTCTCTCTCTCTCTCTCTCTCTCTCTCTCTCTCTCTCTCTCTCTCTCTCTTTGTGCAGGACTGTGACTCCTTCTCCAGGGAGCCATCAGAATGAATCTCCACCTGCTAACCTGCCTTCTGGTGGCACTGACCCATGCTGTCAGCAGTCAAGGTACCCATCCCCACACAGTCAGGAAGCTAGGGAACCTACCTCCCTGCTACCTTTTCCTGGGACATCAGAGTCTATATGAATCCATCTTGGCTATTAACCCAGTGTATCCTCACCACACCTAATGCTCACCAAATGTTAGAATTAGGGGAGGAAGAACTCAAAGGCATCTAGTCCCTCTTGTATCATATGGGATTACCACCCCCTCCCTCACCAATGATTGATGCAGTATGGTATAGCAGATAAGGGCACTGGACTTGACATCAGGAAGACCTGGGTTCAAATTCTCTCAGATACTTACTGTCCCTCTAGGCAAGCCTTTTAACCTCTTTGTGCCTCAGTTTTCTCATCTGTTAAGTGAGGGGGTTAGACTTAATGGCCTTTCAGGTGCCTTCCAACTCAAGATCTGTGATCCCACAAACAAAAAACAACATAAAAAATAGCTGATATTTATATAGCACTTTGGATGACCCCCATACACACTTTTGTACCTCTCCAGTAAGCTGCAAGTTTTCCTGGTGATGTCAAGCCTCTTTGCGTCTTCCCCCAGCTGAATCCTGGTCCCACTCTCTCCATCCCTTTGCCTCTGCTCCTCTCTTCTGCTTTTCTCCTGCCTAGCTGATCAAAGCTCAGCCACCTCCCCTTGGAAGCCTCTCCCCATTTTCACCCCACCTTAATTACCCCACAGCTTTGGACTCTGTACCACCTCAAGCTATTTGGTACAATCTGTTCACTGGAGGATGCCTCTAAATCTCTCCCTTTCCCTTCTCTCTCCCACCCCATTCTACAGCCTCAAAAGACTTCCATCCCCTCTCGTTTTTCTTCGATTCAATGGACTATGGGCTTTGGGGCAAACAAAAGGATGAGGGGATGCTGTGAAGAAGTAGTCAAGAAGTGGCCATTTAGTCCAATGCCTTCATTTGGTAGGTGAGGAAGCAGAGACATGGAGTAGTTAAGGGACTTACCCAAAGTCACTCTACTACTAAATGACAGAAGCAGGCTTTGAACCCAGCCTTTCTGACTCCAAAGGTGGGCGGGAGGGAGGTGGGTGGTGGTGGAGACTTTCTATTGGACTATACTGCCTCCCAAGTTGGGAGACCTGGGTTCTTGTCTCAGCTCCTCCCTGAGTTGGGGTATAGCTTTGGGTAAACCTCTGCTCTTTTTTTTTTAATGTAACTTTTCTTTTCACTGATATTTATTTTGTCTATCTTCCCCCACTGGGGGAAAACAAAACAAATCCATTCTCCATCTATTTCCCCATCAGTAAAATGAGGGGCTAGAGAAGCAGGAAGGTGGAGTGGATAGTGCTATATATATTTTGCATTCAATTGTCCATGTATAGTTATTCTCCCCCACCCCAGTAGAATATAAGCTTCTCAAGGGCAGGAATTTTTTTTTTAATCTTTGTTTCCCTAGCAGCTAGCACAGTGCTGGGTACATAGTCAATGCTTTAATCCTTGTAACCCTAGCATCTAACACAATATGGGGCACAGAGTCAATGATTAATAAATGTTTGTTCAAATGAATTGGCTTGGAGCCAGAGGACCCAACTTCAAATCCTAGCTGTGATATTTACGACTTCTGTGACCCTGAGTGGATCATCTTAACCCTTAGCTTCTTTATCTGTCAAGCAAGGTGGCTGGATTATACCATTCCAACTTTATCTTTTCACATTATTTAATTATTTATTTATTTGTTTATTTTTAGTTTTCAACATTCACTTCCGTAAGTTCTTGAGTTTCAAATTTTCTTCCCCTTCCCTCACCAAGATGGCATGCAATATAGGCTCTACTTATACATTTATATTAAGCATATTTTCCCTTTAGTCATGATGTAAACAACAATTGGAGCTAATGGGAAGAACCATGAGATTGAAGCAATAAAACAAAACAACAAAATAAAAGGAGAGCAAATAGCATGCTTCCATCTGCATTCAGACTCCATAGTTCTTTCTCTGGATGTGGATAGTATTTTCTATCGTGAGTCTTTTGGAGTTGTCTTAGATCCTTGCATTGCTGAGAAGAGCCAAGTCTATCAAAGTCAGTCATTGCACAGTGTGGCTGTTATAGAATTTTCCAATTTTAAATCCAACACTATTAGCTGATTTCTAATGGCTCTTCCAGTTCTTACCAGCTACTCATTGGTAACTCTGATTCTTGGCCCTTGGGGGAATTGATACTGTAGTGGGGAGACTAAATGAAAAGTGTGAAATCCAGTGCTAAGATATAAGCAGTGGTGTTTGAGAAACTGCTTTGTGGGTGAGAGTTCTGGATTTGGAATCAGAAGAGGAAAATTTTGAATCCAAGCTCTGCTACTTACTAATTATGTGAATTGAGGCAAATTCTCTCTCTGGACCTCAGTTTTCTCATCTGTAAAACTTCAGGTGATGGTATTCGGACTAGGAGATCTCTAAGGTCCTTTCCAGCTTTGACATTCTATGGCTGCCTCTGATCACCTTGGGCAAGTCCCTTTAACTTCTCTGGGCCTCAGTTTCCTCAGTTCCACAGGTTTGAGGGTCCTTGCAGCTCCCATGAGGCTAAGGGTAGCTTATCCAATTAAGTCCTGAGAGGCAGGAGGAGGAGTGACCAGTGGAGCTCAGAAGGTCCTGCTAACCTAATTCCCTTTTGTTATATTTCCTCAGAGCCATAACCCTAGGGATTGAACTTCCATTTTATATATGGGATCCCAGAACCTTCATGTAGGACAGGAAAGCCCTGGTTTAAGGGACAGGGCTGAGGAGTTCCTGGATCCTTGGCTGCTTCCTCCCTCAGCCTTTGATCAGGGTAGGGACAGGGGCTTCTTATCAGACCCAGTGTCCTCCATTCCCCCTCCCCTGAAGCCTTATCACCCAGCCAAGCTGCTGATTATAGGAGGAATGGCCCAGAGAATAACTTTCAATACCTTTGATCCTCCTGAAGGGAGGAGGGGATAGTCTCTGAACCCAAAATACTCCTCATTGTCTTGGAGTGGAGACTAGAGTTCGTTATAATTGTTATAGAACATTTATAGGACTTCTGCTCAGAGGTCATAAGGCTGGTGGAGTCTCAGTCCTCCAGGAATTCACAGTCTGATAGGGAGGCCAGGCTCATATACAGCGGAAAAAGTAGCCGTCAATACTTGGGATCATGGAAGAAGCAGTTCTGTATAGAGTGAAAGACCATGAGTTCTGGAATCAGACTTCTGGAACCTGGGAGGTAGGTGCTATGATTATTCCCATATTACTGTTGAAGAAACTGAGGCAGACAGAGGTTTGATGACTTGCCTTGTGTGATACAGGTAGTAAGTATCTGAGGCTAAATTTGAACTTAGGTCTTCCTGACTCCGGGCCCCAAACCCTATCTTTTGCACCATGATCTAATGACTTATGACCTTAGAACATAGGACATAGACCAGAATACCACACCTGGAAGAGACCCTAGATGTCCCTTAGTCCAACTTTTTCATTTTATAGATGAGGAAACTGAGGCTGGGATGTATGTGCCTTGACAATGGCAGAGCTGGGATTAGAACTCAGGTTTTCTGACTCTAAGCCAGGCTTCTTTCCTAGAGGCCAAGTGTCCTGGTTTCATAGAGGAGCAGGAGGGGCTTGATCTGGGCCTCCTGAAGGAAATTCTTGCTCTTCACTTAACTGCCACCCCACGAATCAACCCCTTCCCCCCCCCCCCCCCCCCGCCTCAACCCTGGTTTGGCAGCTTATCTGAGTTTCAGGCCTTTTCCTACAAAGAGCTGAAGAAGCAGCTGCTAGGTGGTCCCTCTCTCCCCCTCCTCTATGCCATTATTAGTTGCGGGAGATGGTGGCTTGGGGGCAACCTCTATATTCCTACCTATACTTCCACTCCCCTAGGTCCAAAGACAGGTCCAGAAAGCAGAGCTGAAGGAATGAGGGGGTCTTAACCCTGACCTTCCTTGTGTTCTGGCTCGAAGACGAAGTATCTACCACTCACCCTTAAACCAATTGGGTTATAGGATTATAGATTTCAACCTAGCAGGGCCCTTAGAAGCGCCCCTACTCCCCACCCCCATTTTACAGTTGAGGATACTGAGGCAGACAGGTTAAGTAACTTGCCCAAGGTTACACAGCTAGTGTCTGAAGCAGGATTTGAACTCAGCTTTTCCTGACTTTAGAGTCAGGCCTATATGTACTGGACTATCTAGCTGCCCTCGTAGCGCAGATGGAAATCAGAGCTAGGGGAAAGGAGTAGTAGCGGGGAGCTTCGGGGAGACTTGTAACCAAGGAGTTAATTCAAAAGAAGACAGTGGAGGTAGAGTGGAAAAACTAGACCTGGCTTCAGATACTGTCTTAGCCACTTACTATTTGTATAATGTTCATTGAGGCCCTCTCCCTTCCCGGTCCTTAGCTTCCTCATTTCCTCAAAGTCAGTATTCCCAGTATTCTGATTCTTTGAAAGAATTTCAGGTTTCCTCCTGATCTTATGCCCTAAAGAAGAGGCAAAGTTGCACTCTGGCATCACTGGGAAGCCTTCTCTGTTCCAGTCCCTTGGGGGCATAAGCTTTATCCTTTCCTTCCTCTCTGACCCCAACTCCCCATTTTCACCAGGTGCCCAGTGCACTGAACATGGGCATCAAAGACTGTGACTCGGATCACTTTCCTGTAGTCTCTCTTGGGAGGGATAGTCATGGAAGGGCAGCATTAGGGAGTGGAGAAGACGTGATGAAATGAACATAGCAATGGACTCCAAAGGAGGAGACCTGGTCTGAAATCACAGCGAGATCACAGGTTTGGAGCTGGGTTTGAGGCGTCTGCCATCTGTTCCCCCCTCTGACATCCTGGCAGTGTGATCCTGGGCAGGTCATAGACTCATAACTCTGAGGTTACCTGTTTCAACTCCTCATTTGACCGAAAGGGCAGACTAAAACAGAGATACATTAAGAACTTGTCATGGGTCACATAACTAGAAAGTATCTGAGGCCAGATTTGAACCCAGGTCTTCCTGACTCCAAGTTCAATGCTCTATCCACCATGACAGTGGTGCTAAACTGAAATGAAAAAAGTTAAGATTATCTATGTCGTATTATATTTTTATTTGTTTTGTTAGGCATTCCCCAATTACATTTTTTTAATTTGTTTTTTGTTTTTGCTAGGCAATGGGGTTAAGTGACTTGCCCAGGGTCATACAGCTAGTGTCAAGTGTCTAAGTCTGGATTTGAACTCAGGCCCCTCTGACTCCATGGCTGGTGCTCTATTTATGGTGCCACCTAGCTGCCCCCCAATTACATTTTGATCTGGTTTGGGTGCTACTCTAGAGTTAGGGGGCCTCTTCTGCACTATACCATGCTGCCTCACGATGAACTTTATAAACAGGCTAGTGGAAGGAAGCAGGAATTCTCTCATAGGTATCACTGAGACATGGTGGATTGGAACACATGCCTGTAGTATGGGTCTAGATATATTTGTCTTATTGAAGAAGAACAGAAAAGAGATAAAGGGACAGCATTGCAGATTAAGAAAATATACTCATGGAAAAGCAGCTAGATGGTGCAGTGAATAGAGCACCAGCCCTGGATTCAGGAAGACCTGAGTTCACATATGGCCTCAGACACTTGACACTTACTAGCTGTGTAACCCTGGGCGTGTCACTTCACCCCATTGCCTCGTCCCCTCCCAAATATATATACATACACGTGTATATACATGTATACATATACTCATGGAATTTGGAATTGAAAATAATATAAAATTGAATTTTAAAAATATTTTTAAAAAGAAGGAAATACAGGAACCAGAATGGGAAAGCCTGGTGGAGAGTGCTGGGATAAAGCTCAATGGAGGGGGAGACAGAAGCAATATGTCCTCAAAGTGTGCAACAGACCATTTGGACAGAAGGAGGAAATGCATGAATTGAGGAAATGGATCATAAGCCTGGCACAAGAGGCTTGATGTAGTCATGGGGGCAGGGGGACTTAACTATCTACATCTAGCTGCTGGAGTTCTCTCTGCCTAAAGCAGAGCAGCTAACTGCTTATCCACTTGCTTTAACAACAATTTCATTCTTCAGAAACTAGAGGAAATAACAATGGGAACTGGTATCCTAGAGCTTATTCTGAATAAAAAAGAACTGGTTGCTGAAAAGGAAAAAAAGAGAAACCTGGAAGTGAGAAGTGAACACTTTCTTAGAATTTGTGATAGAGAAGGAAAGCCGTCTTGGGATATCAGATTTCAGAGGGTTGAGAGAAAGGTTAGGCAGGATCTAGTGGCATGAGATTAGACTGATGGAGGCAGTTCAAGGGAGGTGGGAGCACTCTCAAGATTGAAATTCTGAAGACACACACAAACACAGGCTAGTTTGTGGATAGACAGAGAACTCCCTAACTTAGATGTTTACACTGCCATTCATAAGATGGATAGAAGGGCAGATAATTAAGGGTGACTACAGAAGCAGCATGGTATGGTCCTATCAGAATAGCAGCTGGAGTGTAAAAGCTTAGAATTAGAGGAGTGGGAGGAGAGGGAAAGAGGATTTAGATACATAAGGGGAAAGGAAGATGAAAGAAAGCTTGTTGCTCAGGTGAAATGGATAAGGAGTAATGAAGAGATTCCTTCTGTTTTCCCTGCCAAAGAGAATGATGCTTGTCCTGGAAAGGACAGAACAAAAATGGCCATTAGGGAGTTCGAATCCAAGACAAGAAAGGAAACAGTAAGAGCGCACCTAGGGCTGCCCTTGATTCCAATCACCTGGCCCGGTGGACTGAAAAGATTGGCCGATGAGATTGTTGAGCTATTGTCAGTGACCTTTGAAAGGTCCTGGAGAAGGGACACAAGCAAGAGTGTAGAGAGGTAGCTGGGTGGCACAATGGATGGAGTATTGGTCCTGGAGTCAGGAGGACCTGAGTTCAAATCTATCTTTAAACACTTACTTGCTGTGTGACCCTGGGCAAGGCACTTAATCCTGGTTGCCTCAAAACATAATAGAGGGCAGATACCCTTATTATTCAAAAAGATAATAGTAATAATAACAATAACAACTCATTTGTACTGGGTCTTTAAGGCTTAGAAAATATTTTACATGCATTATTCTTTTTGACCTTCACAGCCTTGAGGTATTATTACTGTACCCCCCCCCACACACACACACCTTATAGATAAAGGATCTAATATTTAGAAAGGCCAAGTAACTTCTCCCAAGGTCACCCAGGTGTTCAGTAAAAGTGGCAGTATTTCTACTATGACATTCTCCCTCTCAAGAAGAAAGGAAGAGAGTGGGGTCTGGAGACTTTGATTTTTTTGGTAAAATTCTCCATAGAATTATTAAAGGAACAGTTGGAGAATATCTAGAAAAGGAAGCTAGGTTCACAACAAGCCTATGTGGTTTCATCAAGCACAGGTTATGCCAGACTAATATTATTTCCTTTTTTGAAGGGCTTGGCCCTATGCTATATAACATTTTATCTGAGACTTGGGTAATGGCAAAGTTGGTGTATTTATCAATTTGCAGATTATACAAGGTTAGGAGGACTAGCTCCCACACTGGATAACAGGATATATAAATCTCTTTTACAGTTTAGAGCAATAGGCCAAATTTAATAATTTAATAAGGATATATTTAAAGTACACATGCGCTAAAAAAAAACCAATCCCACATGGTCAAGGCATGGCTAGATAGTAGTTTTCCTTAAAAAAAAAAAAAGACCCAGGTCTAAGAGAATTCCAAAAGACTCATGGTGGAAAATGCTATCCATGTCCAGAGAAAGAACTATGGAGTCTGACTGCATATCGAAGCACAGCATTTTCTCTCTTTACTTTTTTGTTTCTTCTTTCCTTGTGGTTTTTCCCTTTGGTTCTAATTCTTCTTCTTTACAGCATGACCAATGTGGAAATATGTTTAATATGCTTGTACATGTATAGCCTATATCAGATTGCATGCTGTCTTGGTGAGGGGGAGCAGAGGAAGGGGGGAGAAAATTTAAAACTCACAATCTTATAGAAACGTGTGTTGAAAATTAAAAACAAACAAACAAATAAAGACATAAAAAAAGATCCAGGGATTCTAGTGGGTTCCAAGCTCAGTGTGAGTCAGCAGTGGGATATGGCATCCTAAAAAGCCAATGCAATTTTGTTTGGTTGTATTTGTCAGTTGTATTAAGAAAGGAGTAGTGACCAGAATGAGTATAGGGTGTTAGTCCCTCTGTCCTAGTGATAGCTCATCTAGAGAACTGCCTTCAGTTCTTGGAGACCATTTTAGGAAAGACTTAGATAAACTGGGGAATGTCCAGAGAATAGTGACCAGGATAGCGTAGGGCTTTGAGATCATTCCATATAAAGGATGAGTAAAGAATCTAGTCATTTAATCTGAAAAAGAAAAGACTTGGGGGTGGGGCAATCAGAGGGTTATGGATTTAGAGCTGGAAGGAACTTAATAGGTATTAAGCCTAAATGCCTTATTTGGCAAACGAGGAAACTGGTTGACTTGTCCAGGCTCACGTAGTCAGTAAGTGCATTCCAAGCTGAATCCTCAGGAGCTCTACCCACTGCACCATGCCGCCTCACAATGGGGACATTGTTAGGATCATAGAGTTAGACCCAGAAAGTGACCTTACAGGCTATTTGAGCCAAACTCTTCATTTTATAGGTGAAGAAACTGTAGGTCAGAGAAGGTAAAAGTGACTCGATCATGGTCACATAGTTAGTCAATTCTGGACTCCAAGTTAGTAAATGATGACTTCAAGAGTCCATCTCTACTCTATCCACTATACCATGCTGACTCTGTTATCAAACATTATAAAGGCTGTCATGGGGAAGAGGGTTTACCTTTGTTTTGCTTGGCCCCAGAGGGCAGAACAAGACACAACAGGTAGAAGCTGCAGAAGCAATTCTGAGTTCCTACAGAAATAGTGTATTGTAGTGTATGGAATGCTGAACTTGGAGTTAGGAAGACATGGGTTCAAATCCTATCTAGAAAACCTGTATAGTCGTGGCTGAGCCTCAATTTCTTCACACGTAAAATAGGGATTAAAAATGTCATCCTGATTTCCCTTTATTATGAGGCTCTATGAGAATGTATGGAAAAGCTTTGTAACCTTTAGAGTGCTATGTAAATTATAGTTATTATAAAGAAAAAAAAGATTCCCTAATCATTAGAGATGCTCAGAAATGGAATGGCAATGGACTGCCTCAAGAAGCAGTGAATTTCCCATCACTGGAGGTCTTCAACTGAGGATTGGATGGTATTTATCGGGAATAATATAATTGATCCATTACAGGTTGGACCAGATAAGCCCTAAAGCCTGGGTACCTTTGTACTCCCTTAGATCCTATGATTCTAGCTTTCGTCTCTGACTCATGCGTGACTTTGTCCAAGTCCTTTCCCCTCCCTGAATCTCATTCCTTATTTGCAAAAGGAGGTTTGTTGAACCAGATGGTGTCTTGTCCTTTCTGCCTCTAAATTGTGTGTTCCCCTGCCTTCTAGGAATAAGAGTCAGAAGTCTTGACCTGGAAGTCAGGAGGCCTGGGTTTTCATCCCATTTCCACTAACTATGTGAGCCTGGGCAAGTCCCTTTCCTTCTCAGGGACTCAGTTTCCCAATCTGTAAAATGAATGCACGCAACTAGCTATTTCTTCTCGTTCTGACTCGCTGGTTCCATGGTTCTAACCAATGGTCCTTGGGGGGGGGGTACATTACCCATAGGCACCTATGAAGACTGCTGTTTGAGATATACTAAACACAGGAAACCTGCCCTCTTACGGCATATCAGGCAATACAGGATTCAAGAGGTGAATGGGAGCTGCAATCTTCGAGCGGTCATGTGAGTGCCCTATTAACTGTGTGACCTTAGGAAATTCCCTTCCTTTCTCTGGGCCTTTCCCCTCACCTGTCTAACATGGGAATGGAATCAGTGATCTCTAAGATCTCTTCTCCCTTGGACTGAGTCTATGACTCTAAACCTGCTCACCCAGGTCTAGGACAGCACAGAGGGATTTGGAGTAGGAAAGAGAGGAGGAGAAAAGCCCAGCCATGGGCATAAGGCTGCCTAGGCTTGCATCTGCTCCAGTGCAATCCAAGGGCCTGGGGAAGGACTAAGGTTCCTAGATATGTAGGTTGGGCTGGACTGGAGGGGTAACAATAAGTAACTGAGGCATAGACCAGCCAGCCAAAGTAGGGGGAGAGAGCCATGGGCTGATGAAATTGGCCCTCCTTCCCCTGTAGTCCGAGGCTGCGTAAAGCCACCTCTGCATTGGAGTATACTTATAGATGGACATGTGGTCCCCTCACCTGCCCTATTAGACTAGGAGGTCCTTGAGGGCAGGGGCAATTTCTGCCTTTCTTTGGGTCCCAAGTACTTAGCACAGTGCCTGGCATGCTTAATGTTTAGTGATTGATTGATTGATCAGAACTAGTGGTTCTGTAGTCCACTCACTTAATACCCAGAACTTCTTATATATTTATTTTTCTTCTTGAAGTAGGGAGGGATGGACTGACAAGAAGAGGAAACTTTAGCTTGTTTCAATGCTCTAGTGAGGCTTCCTTCCATTCCCTACCATGCCCACCGTCATCCTAGACTCAGAAGAGCTCTTTTCCTCTCTGGTTCCTTCCCAGAGGCTAGATCCCTTTCTGGGAAGCTAATGGGCTTATTCTCCTCAATCAGAGCCCCTCACGCCCCCCCCCATTTTGATCACTTGATATGCTGGACCTCTCCTCCTAGACATTCAGGTGCCAGTTACCTATCCTCTAAATCTCTTGACATGACACTCTGCCATCCCCCCCACCCCCGCCACTTTTGCTTTCCTATTCCTTGGACTCCAAACTCCCAAGTCTTCAGACTTCCTAGTCCCTGAATTCTGATCCTTTTGGCCTCAAATCTCTCAGTCTCCAGACTCTCAGGCCTTGTTCTTCCTGTCTTCCAGACCTTCAGCCTCCAATTTCCCTGACTCTAATCCCTGGTCTTGCTGGTTCCTCAAATCTCCAAGTCCTTAACCCTTTGGTCACTGTGTGTCTTTGACTCCAAGTCCACAACACCCTATTTCCCAATTGCTGGTGCTCTAAGTCTCTACTCCCTTACCTACTGATCCCCAGAGTCCCAATTTCCAGCGCCTGTCACTTGGGTCTCTAGGACCCCAGACCCTTCATCCCCTACATCTCCTTGCCTCTCAAACTCCAGACTCTAAGTGATCTGGTTCCATACCCCTGGTCCCCATCCCTAGGCCCCCCCATGCTAACTAGTGACTCATCTCATTTCAGCTTTGAGTTTCGGAGGAAGAGCAACATCATTTGTGGCAACCCTGATGAGAAATGGGTTAAGGATAAGATCAGGGAGCTCCAAATTAGAGCCCACCGGGTCTACTGGAAGCTCAGAGAGGAAATCAAGAAGGACCGTGGAGGTGGGTGAGAAACACCATAGGGTCTCGAAAGAGAAGTGTGTAGCCTAGCCTTTTCTATTCAGGTCCATGTTTACATTTTTGTATTCTCTCTCTCTCTCTCCCTCTCTCTCTGTCTCTCTCTCTGTCTCTCTCTCTGTCTCTCTCTCTGTCTCTCTCTCTCTGTCTCTCTCTCTCTCTCTCTGTCTCTCTCTCTCTCTCTCTCTCTGTCTCTCTCTCTCCCTGTCTCTCTCTCTCTCTCTCTCTCTCTCTCTCTCTCTCTCTCTCTCTCTCTCTCTCTTTCTCTCTCTCTCTTTTTTAGGCAATTGGGGTTAAGTGACTTGCTCAGGGTCACACAGCTAGAAAGTGTCTGAGGTCACATTTGAACTCAGGTCCTTCTGATTCCAGGACTGGTGCTGTGTCCACTGTGCCACCTAGCTGCCCCCATGTTAAAATTTTTTAAAATTTACCTCTTAATTTATTGACATCTATTGTTTTTATATTCCATTAGACTGTGTGCTCCTTGAAGGCAAGCACTTTGCTTTTGCCTTACACAGAGACACATTAAGAAATGCTTAGTGACTGACACATCCCTTTATTTCCAAATATGTTCTTCTTCCCTCCTCCACCCATTGGGCTATCCCTCTTAACAAAAGAACATTTATTCCTCAACAATTGTACACCATTCCTGAGAAGAGGGAATTAATGTATAATTTCTTAACGTCCCCCCACCCCATGGCCAACCTTAGTCATTATTATTTCATAGCACTGAGTTTCATTTTTTTTCTTTCTGTTTATATTGTTGCCCTGTTTTCCTGATTTTGCTTACTTTACTCTGCATTAGGTCGTATATCTTCCCATGCTTCTCTGGATTTTTCATATTCATTATTTCTTATGGCATGGTAATATCAAATTACATTAATGTATCACAGTTTGCTTAGTCATTCCCCAACCAATGAGCATTTACTTTGGCTTTAGTTTTAGTTTTTTCCCTATCATCTCTCTTGAGAGTCCTGGATTACTTAGCTATGGTCACTGGGGCTGGGGGAACAGGGTGGAAGGATTATATATTTACTTTGTTGTCCTTCCTTCCTTCCTTCCTTCCTTCCTTCCTTCCTTCCTTCCTTCCTTCCTTCCTTCCTTCCTTCCTTCCTTTCTTCTTTTCTTCCTTCTCTTTTTCCTTCCTTCCTTCCTCTCTCCCTCATTCATTCAACAAGCATTTATTAAGTCAAGTAAAGAAAGCATTTATTAAGTGCCTACTGTGTGCCAGGCATTGTTCTGGAGATACAAAGAAAGGCAAAAGACAGTATCCTGTTCTCAAGGAGCCCACAATTTAATGGGTAAGCCAACAAGCAGACACCTATGTACAGAAAAGATTTGTACAGGACAAACAAGAAATAATCAACAAAGGGAGCGTACTAGGTTTAAGGAGAAACGGGAGAGGCTTTGTGCAGAAGGTAGGATTTTAAAATGAGACTTGAAGGAAGCCAGCGTAGCCCAAAGATACAGGAGTCAAGGTGTAAGAAGACTGGAGAGGTAGGAAGGGTCCAGGTTATAAGGGACTTTAAAAGCCAGATAGAGGATTTTATATTTCATTCTGGAAGTAATAGGGAGCCATTGGAATTTTTTTTGGAGGGGAAGTGTTGCCTGTGACATGATCAGATCAATTTGACAGCTAAATGGAAGATAACTCCATTTATGAACTACCTGATGTGTGCAGAGTTATGGGGTTCATAATCTAGCGGACCTGATAAAACATATACGTGATGCAAATTAGGACATGATCACTGCAAAAGAGTACAGCCTGCTAAGAGGCTGGATGAAGGAAAGACCAATTCTGCCTGGGAGATGGGGTGGAAAATCAGAGGAGACATCTGGAGGTGGTGACATGGGCCTTCCATTTCTAAATCCCATGGCACTAAGGGAGAACAGGAAAATGTAGCCTCTTAGTCCCAGAAGGCTTCCTGGAGGAGTAAGGACCTGAAAATCCAACAGTCACTTCTACTTTTGGCCAGATACAACTGACTTCCCAGTTTTTGGCCAAAAGTAGAAGTGAGCTTTGGAAGTACATGTAGCAACTACTGGGGTGGAGAGAAGGAGGGTAGATGAAGGAAGCTCTCCCAGGCAGGGAGCCAAGAGACCTCTGCTCCCACTCACCAGCTGCAGGAAGAAAAGTAGCCGCAAGGAAATCACAAAATGCCAGGGGAATCCATGGGGCCCTGGGCAAAATGGTGAAATAGGTGTGTGCAAGGGCAGAGCCAAAACTCACTCCTGGTCCATTTACAAGGACTTTGCTGGACAAAGAGTTTTTCTAGACATGGGCCTTTTTGCTGGAAAGGAAAAGGGCATTGGACTCCAAGTGAGGAGATCTGGGTTCAAATCTGCTTGCGTGATTCATTTCATCTCTGTGGACCTCACTTCCCTCAGCTATAAAATGAGCTTAGCATAGTGCCTGACACATAGTAGGTACTTATTAAATGTTTTTTGATTGATTGATGAGAGGGTGGATTAGATGACCTCTGAGGTCCCTTCCTCAGGAAGGAACTGCCTAGAGGTGTCTGGTGGCTTAGTGGATAGAGCACTCAACCTGGAGTCAGGAAGACCCTGGCTTTGAATTTAGCCTAGGATACTTATTAGCTTCATGACCCTGAGCAAGTCACTTAACCTGTGTTTGCCTCAGTTTCCTCAACTGTAAAATGGGGATCATAATAGCACCTACCTGCCAGGATTGTTGTGGGGATCAAATGAAATTTTATAAAGCTCTTAGCATATGGCACACAGTAGGCACATTAATAAATACTTATTCCCCTCTCTCTGGATTCCCTTTCCAACTTCATGATCTTTGAAGGATATATAGGGCATCAGTTAGCCAAAAAAGGAGAGGGTAGGCATTCCTGTCTCAAAGAATGACATTAGCAAAGTTCAGGGGGCCAAAGAGTATGGGATGTTTCAGGGGATGGTGAGGCATGCAACTTGGCCTGAACGGTAGAGTACAATACAGATCAAGGTTAGGGCAGGGGCTTAGAGGGCCTTGAATGAACAGCAAGCTAAGGAATTTTGACTTCCTGCAGACCATGGGAAGCTAGGTGTCTCTGTGGTTAGAGTGGTGGGCCTGTGGTCAGGAAGAGCTTAATTCAAATCTGGCTAACTGTGTGACCCTGGACAAGTCACTTAACCGAAGCCTGCTTCAGTTTCCTCAACTGTAAAATGGGGATAATTGTGGCATTTACATCCCAGGGATCTTGTGAGGATAAAATATTTGTAAAGTACTTTGCAAACTTTAAAGTGCATATAAATGCCAGTGACTGTGATGACAGAACAATTATGAGCAGAGGAAGGATGTGATTATATGTGTGTTATTTGAATGAATGGCACCCTAGACCTGTCCAGGCCATGCAAACTTGGGGCATTTTTTCATCTAGGCTGGCTTGTTGGGGTCCTTTTCTTCCCCTAGGATTCCATAGACAAGTCTCCACTGACCTTCAATCCTCTGTGCCTTTTCATGTTTCCAACTGGATTTCTTCTTCCTGGCCCCCTGCCCAGGGAACATAATGGGAGGTAGAGGGATAGACAAACCCCCAAGGTGACCTATAGAGATGCCGGAATGACCAGAGTGTCACAGCTATTCCTTGTTTTCATTGGGGGCTAAGGGGGGGAGGTTAGAGCTGTCAGGCCTTTAGTTTAACCCCCGCTTGGCTTGTTTTCTCTGGGGTGAGGGGGGTATTGGTGCTTAGTAATTCATTCATTCATATATTCATTGGACAAACAGTCAGGCAACCAGCCACTATGTGCAAGGCCCTCTTTTAGGAACAAGGGGAGAGCCAACATTTTCCCAAGACCTGATCTCTGCCTTTAGGATCTTCAGGAAGGAGGGGTTCTTTCTTAGTGACTTCGCTTAGGTCTTTTTTCAGGCGACAGTGGGACACTGTATTGAATTGTGAAGAGAAGGAACGAATGGAGATGACAGCTGATTGTGCAGTGTTCAAGACTTGCCCGGGGCACCGAGAATGACAAGCAGGGTTGTATCCCAGCCAGTATGTCATGTGATCATAAGACCATAGATTTAGATCTGGAAAGGACCTGAGGGGCCATCTAACCCAACCTCCTTATTTTACAGATGAGGAAAAGGAGTCCTTTCTCCCATGTACCAAGATGGCTGATGTTTTTATAGTGCTTTAAAGTCACAGGTCATAGACCTAGAGCCATAAGGGAACTTAGAGGTCATGTGGTCCAACCTTCTCATTTTATAGATGGAGAAACCGAGGATGGAGAGGTTAAGTGATTTGCTCAGGGTCATACAGTGAAGGAAGAAGTGTCTGAACCAGCTTTTGAACCCAGGTCTTCCTGACTTCTCAATACTGATAAATGACCTTAACCCAGCTTGTCCTAACTCCTAGGCCAGGTCTCAATTTAGTATGCCATGATGACTATTCATTGGTAGTAGAATCTCAAGCATGTGAGATCACAGGTCTGGACCACACAAAAAAAATGAGGGGGAGAAAGAAGGAAGGGGAGAGAGAGAGAGGGAGAGAGAGAGAGAGACAGAGCTAGAGAGAGAGAGAGAGAGAGAGAGAGAGAGAGAGAGAGAGAGAGAGAGAGAGAGAGAAAGAAAGAGGTGAACATTCATAGATGTTTGTTGAAACAACACACATAAACCCTACTCTTCAGGAACTCAAAACTTAGATTCTAGTATTGGCGCTACTGCCGACTCACCGAGTGACCTCAGGAAAGTCACCTTCCTCCTCTCTGGCCTTAATTGTTTTTACTCTCTGTAAAATGAGGAGTGTGGTGTGTGGGTCAGTCAGTCAGTGAGTAAGCATGTTTTAAGTTCATGCAACATGCCAGGTCTGTGCTAAGTGCTGGGGATGCAAAGAAAGACAGAAGACAGTTCCTACCCTGGAGGAGCACATAGTCTAATAACGGAGGCAACATGTAAACAAATATGGACAGATAAGATGTGTACTGCAGAGATGGAGATAATCCACAGAGGAAGGGCACGAGTACCATGGGGAATCAGGAAATGT